ACTGAAAAGCCTTCAGCTAATCCAAAATGCTGCAGCAAGAGTCCTGACAGGGACTAGAAAGAGAGAGCAATTTCTCCTGTTTTGGCTTCCCTTCATTGGCTTCCTGTTAAATCCGATGAATTCAAAATCCTGCTCCTCACATACAAGGTCTTAAATAATCAGGCCCCATCTTATCTTAATGACCTTGTAGTACCATATCACCCTATTAGAGCACTTCGCTCTCGCTCTGCAGGCCTACTTGTTGTTCCTAGAGTATTTAAAAGTAGAATGGGAGGCAGAGCCTTCAGTTTTCAGGCCCCTCTTCTGTGGAACCAGCTTCCAGTTTGGATTCAGGGAGACAGACACTATCTCTACTTTCAAGATTAGGCTTAAACTTTCCTTTTTGCTAAAGCATATAGTTAGGGCTGGACCAGGTGACCCTGAATCCTCCCTTAGTTATGCTGCAATAGACGTAGGCTGCCGGGGATTCCCATGATGCATTGAGTTTTTCCTTTCCAGTCACCTTTCTCACTCACTATGTTTAATAGACCTCTCTGCATTGAATCATATCTGTTATTAACCTCTGTCTCTCTTCCACAGCATGTCGATATATATATAATATGATATATATGTATATATATATATAATATATATATATATATATTATATAAGTATATAGGGGTGCAACGATACTCGTATCGATATTGAACCGTTCGATACAGTGCTTTCGGTTCGGTACGCATATGTATCGAACAATACAATTTTAATTTATTTTATCAACTTTTCTTCTGACTGATGCTGTCTGTGTTGAGCGACTCAGTGAATCTGCGTTCGACTACTCCGCAGAGCTGCAGGGCAAGTCAGCTGTAGATCAGAAGTTGCAGCTCCGCAACATGGCAAATTGAACCTCCTCCCACCCTCATTCAGATCTGGCGTTTGGAATCTATTTTGGTTTTCATGTGACGTATGACCCTGAAGGTAAGCGCAGTCATGGACTAAAGTAAAACAGTATGTTGGATGTGCCACGCAATGCTCAATTACATGGGTGGGAACTAGTGTGTTAGCGCAGTTAGCTCGTTAACGTTTCTGATTGGTTTTTACACACACACACACACGGTGCTTGTTGATTTCAGCTATATATAAATTTTAAATAAATACGAAAAGTAATATTTTCAGCCATGTACATACTGTTATAGTGGTGCATGCTTCTGTTAAACATATTTATTTCAAATGATGAGGTCAGCATATGTAGAATCCTCTGAATCAAAAGCTCAGGCTTAAGACTGTTCTCAGTGCTCAATATTAGATAGTGTTTTTAAAAAATAATATGGCCGTGTTAGCGCTGGCTGTGTGAACAGAAGCCACCCACCTGCTGTTCAAACCTTATGACCAAGAAGGGCAGCCAATCAGAAGAAAGAACGCTCAAAAGGAGAGGAGCTGAAAGAGCTCGTTTCAGATACAGGATGAACCGAGGGTCTGCACCAAGGCTAAAGTAAAGTAAGGTTAAACTGTGAATCACGCAAAGCTACTCTAAAAGGGTTCAAACTAAAAAAAATAAATAACGGTTCATTGAACGCCCGCTCCCCATTTCCTATTGCAGTTTTTAAGTTTAACTTTTCGAGGGTTGACTCACAAACATTTGCTCTTACTGTTTAGTTTTTAGTTGCTCCAGGCGTTGCGATTAAGGAATTAATCACAAATATTCTGACTGAATTGTTTTCACGCTACCAATTACAAATACAGCCATGCAATTTATACTCACAGTGCTTCTCAAAACTGAAGAAATGTATTTGAGTCAATAATAAACCGTAAGCTTACAGGAACAAGAAGCTTGTACACAGACAGAAAGTCCCGTCGATGTCTCACTGAGCAGTTTTACCTACCGGAGGTTTGAAGACGCCGCAGACACTCGTGGACATCTAATTTGTAATAAACAAAATCAGTGCGGAGCGAACCGACGACTCCTTCACGGTCAGGGCATTCTCAGGAGTTTTTAAAACTTCTCCAAATCCGCACATCTGCACACTGGTGCGTTCAGGAGTTCCGCAAAAAGCTGCGAAATCACATCTTCGAGTGGAACGCAGCGGTTTTATTTTGTTTTTGTAATTTTAAGTACAATTCTGAACTGAAATTAACTTTACTTATCCTTACCAGAATGAAAAGCAATATGAAAAAGATCTAGCTGCTTCATTTTCCAGTGAGATGTAGCACGTACAGGCAACTACTGACAGACTAATACAGTGGATTAGACAAATAAAACACACCTTGTAGAG